TACTGGTAAAAAGTTGGCTGGGCCCTGCTATTATGATCATAATGTAATCAACTTTAAAAAAATGTCATAATGATTTGTAGTTAATTTTCTTTTAGAGTCGTCTGGAATATCTAAGGAAGTCTCTTAAGTACAAGGATTTACAGGTAGCTTTATTCCTGAAAAATTGTATCTAAATTGTTACGAAATGAGATATACTATTGGACTTAGACTTAAATGGATTCTATTGTGCATCTTGTATAAAGTGAAAAGACCTTTTGAAATATAAATATCCTCTCCACATTTAAAAAATATCTGGCAACTGATGTATCCTTGTACTTAAGCAAAAGAACTTGCCAAAGCATGAAAGATAAGATGAGAGTGGCAAGACATAATCCAATCTATTAAGCTGCAGCTTACAGTAATTTTCTTTCAAGGAACAGAGGCATACTGAAAAGATCATGAAACTCACAGGAAAGAGGAATAGACTCCTTTGGGCCTAGAATATCAATGTTACATTTAATGTGGTGACATGTGTGTTTTCAAAGTTGTGCCATTTGGAAACGGCAGGCCAAAGATATTGCTCAGCCAAAACTTAGTTTGTCTAGTGTCCATGGATGCAGCCAGGGAGGTTTTTATTTCCCCAGAATTGCAGAAGCTGGTATGTAATTCATTGGGAGTTAGGGAACATATAGTCCATCCCAAGAAAGGTGGACATAGGGCTTATATCATTTAATTTATGGCAGTCAGGCTCATCAATGCTTCCAATGACTTAATACAAGCATTAAAGCTCATGAATACAAGCTACTCAAGTTGGTAATTAAAAAAGGTATGACATATGACAGGAAAAACGTTACTGGCGCATGAAAATGAGCATTAATAAAAACAAAGCAATAGGCGGTTTCTGTTTTGTTCTTAACGGAGGTTTATGAGAAGGCACATTTTACATAGTAAATTATGTATTTTGGTAGCTTGGGAGAAGGAAAGTGAATTCTCATTTCAGACATCTTTTATGATACAACTTTTAGAAAATGAAAGAATAGCTCGAATATCCAAAAATGACTCATTTTTCTTACTCTCATAAGGCAATGCTAATGTTAACAGAATTGTTTCAGTCATTCAGGGTAGTATCGATTATTTTTAAGCACAGGATTCTTGTAGAATTATGCACTAAACATTCATGGGGTCTCGGAACAAAGGGCAAGACTAAAAACTTAATAAATTCTCTAATTTTGCTTTTCTAGTGCAGGAAGATGTGAATGTAGAATGTGAATTTCTCAATTTGTAAATTATCTACTTAGGAGAAGGATTAATGCTTTATGTGGGCACACAACATGAAACTTCTTTTTGCTGTTTGTTTTATAGGCACCAGAATATAAGATGCGTCTCTCAACATGTATGGTCATTTAAATAAAATCATATTAAGTAATTTTGTTAATTTTCTCTGGCCAGAATGATGGATGAAAATAAATTACAATATGATATTTCGCAATAAGAAGACAAGATATATTACATAATATGATATGGTCTGGTTATTTAAGATCTTTAAATGTTATTTTTTTATTAAAAAGTTCCACCCTACTTGTCAACATATCATTAACAACAGAATGAAAATCAAAGCTTATCATTTCATCGAAAATGTTTTAGTATGAGGTGAGATCTTGCACAATCTTGTGACACATACTACCTGATAAAACTTGTGCTGGATAAAAAAGAAATACAAAAGCCGAGAACTTTCTAGGTTGACAACTTCCATGGTCCTAATTGTCTAGTCTAGTTGAAACATACCATGTAATTACTATCCACAAAAGCTTGGACTTACAATCTTAAGTTCCTACAAGTCTCTCTATTTGATTTCAACAACTATTAACGTCTTAACTATATTACTACACAACTTACTGGAATGATAAAGAATAAACATAAGTGAGATTCACAGATATATTAGAGGCTGGGATGTCATAATAAATCCTCGAGGAATTTACCAAAGGGATGGAGCTGTTAATGCTGTCTGAGATTAGAAGGTGAAAATTGAGTTGAGTAACTTTAAGCGTTATTGGAAGACTTTCAAAATCACAGTGTAAAATAACAATATTAACTGTAGCATAACTTGGAGTTACACATAAAATTTACCAATGGCATTGAACACAAAATTGCCTAGTAGTGTCCCGAACTTGTGTATAAAATTTTAATGACTAGGAAGGGAAATGAGGTAACTCTAGGCCAGGAATTCAGTGCAACATGTCAAATAGACTTTGGTTTCTTACTTGAAACCAAATAAATGACAAATGCTTTTCAAAAAAGTATGTATTCTGTAATAAGAAATTCTGTTACATTTCTGTTTTAAACTGACAGGTCCAGCAAATGGTTTTATAGACATACAATAGACTGTGAACCCCCACTTCTTGGAGCCATTTTTTTGCTAAGAGGTTTCCTTCTCTTAGGCCAAAGTTTGAGCAAACAGTTAGGCCTGGCATCTTGTGTAATGAGTCCTATCAAGTCCAGGATTCTTTTAATCACATTCAAGTGGCATTTGGAAGTACTTCACCCCTGACAAAGTTTAGTGTGCGTGTGTGCACACGCATGAGTGTTTTCAACTTCAGAAAATGAGCACTGAAGAGGGATATTGAATAACCCCGAGAGCTTATTAACCAGTACTCCTTGTC